TTTTCAAAACATTCAAAGCAGTTGAATTTCACACCCGATCCCAACTCCCACCAGGACCCCGTGCTCCAGTGATGCGCAGTCCTCATTCAGAGCCACAGCGCTCACTCCTGCTTAGCTCACCCTGCGGGCCAAGCGCACTTTTCACTCCAACGTTCACCAGTTATTCAAGGCCTGCAGCACTGGCTTTGGTACCAGGAACGGTGCACCACCCTCGCAGCAGGTGCATTCGACACCAGCAGACTTGGAAACCAATGCAATTCATTTTCTTCAGCAGATCGGGCCAGTCCCGGTGACAGAAGCGGATGGCCAGTTAGTGCCCTGGGGAAAGCGTTAGTGAAGGAGCTGGGAGCGTAACGGGAAGCCTGGAGGGGTTACGCATGTGGGTGACCAGCAAGGTCAGCTGAGAGTCTGGCTTCAAGTGGAGAAGGCCATGTTCTAGCTCCTATTGTGTGGGAAGGAGGGCTGGTGTCTCTGAAAGTACAACTCCTCGCCAGTATCATGCAAGGAAAGGAAGAGTGCTCAGGCCACACTAGGAGAGGAGGACCGTGCGATCCGTGAAACAGTCGGGTGGGGTCCTGCTACAGTTCAAGCTTCAATACCGAAATGGACCAGGAAGTGTTTAATGACACTAAGAGGAGCTCACAGCTTTACTCGTACACCCAGGAATAAAGACTCCGCTAATGCACACATGGTTCCTGCTCCCCACACATCTGTTGTATTGAGTCAGTCTGTAGCACTGTTTTATCTCCCTAACCTTTTGATTGGTACTTGCTAGCTATTTAAAAAAGAAAAAAAATCAATAAGCAGGGAAGGACTGAACCCAATAGCAAAGCACTATTAGCACACGTCTGCACAGGAATCCTTTGCCAGGAACAGTTTACACATAAGAGACTGGGGATGGACGGTGCAGAACAAATGTAAAAGTTCCTGACTACTCCCAACACTCATTACAGCCTCGTTTGGCTACAAAGAGCCAGCCCAGACCAAGCCACAGTCTGGGGGAGATATGCAGCAGCCCGAGCAATACTAATACTAATCTCTCGGGCATAGCCCATCCAAGAAATTAGCTCTTAGGCATGTAGACACACAGCCGAGAGAGAGGACAACAGGGCAGATGCGACAGGAGATTTAACCCTAGGGGGTGAGAAAGGATTTAGGGTGCATTGTCACTAGGATTTTCTTACTGCATGTGCGCTAAGGCACGGTAACAAGAGGTAAAACCTTAGTGAACACCAGGCAGCGTGTGGTTTTCCACACATAGTAGCAGGTCGAGGTTGTTGTCAGTTGGCTTGTGTGTGTGTTCTTTTCATGTGTTGTCCCAGCAGGTAGTGGCTCAGCAGACTGTGATAGTACTGCCCAGTGTTAAGTGATGAAGGATGGAATATTGTTGCCGCAGTGACGCTGTTTAGGCTGCCCAGTGCCTCTGTCCTTTGAGCTTCTATTTTATCATGATTATCAGCAGATAAGGCAGCCTCGAGGCTACTCAAAGATAGACCACAGGTGCAGTTCGGTGGCAAAGTTTACCAGTCTCTAAAATGAGGATAATACCTACATCACCAGGCAGAGAGAAGGGGAGTGAGGATTATCGTTTGCAGAATGCTTTGAGACCCTCAGACAAAAGGGCCGTGTACTCAGTTTCATTATGTGATTTCCTGGGGTCTGAACTGGGCACATGGGAGAACATGTATTGCCTAACCAATATATCACCATCCAAGAATTTAGGGGACGTGATTTAGGGTCCAAGTAAAAAGTCCGCACATGCATCCTGAGTAAAGATGACCGGAAGGCTTAGTCATGCTCTGAGGACCTTTCACAGCCAGTTTTCACTGAGAAGTGACCCCAACTGGCAGGAGAGGTGAATCACTATGTTTAGTTATTGGTGCAACATTTTCACAGATTATTTTCACTTCTGTATGTTATTGCATGCATTAAATAAACACGTGATGTTTATATCTGTACAAAGGGCTACGTGCCAGTGGCCACGTTTATAGCAAATGGTACATAGAGAAGTAAACTGCATTATTCTGTTGTAATTTTTTACCCTCCTACAAAGTCTCGATGAACTGGTTTCCAAATCAGGAAAGCGATGATAATCTACATGCCCAATTTTCAGAACACCTGCTAATAAAATCACCATCTTCCTCACTGTTGTTTTCAAAGACTCAGATTTTAAGACCAGAAAAGACCATCATGACCCTTTATTTAGTCAGTCGTCCTAGCATTTCACCCAGTGATTCCTGCATGACGCCTATAACTTCTGGCTGAATTGGAGTGCAGCTTTTTGAAGACTTCAAGCAATGGAGGATCCATCACATCCCTGGGAAAATTTCCAGTGCCTTTGAAATAGGGCATGGAAAGCCCACCCTGAAGAGCACCCAGTGCAAAGGGAGAGCTGGGCCCAAGTCCCAGAACCAGACGCCACCTGCCATAACATACAAATTCCCAGGCAGAGTGCCTCTAGGATCTGAACTGAAGACTTCTGGCACTGTGGTGAGAGGCATGGCATGAAGCCATCCGGCCTGGACCCCGGTCTGGCTCTCAAAACACCCTGAAGTTCAGCCAATTGCTTGCTGGGGGTCAGGAAAGAATTTTTTTCTCAATCCACAATGGGCCAGACTTGTTCTCAGGTTTTTTCCCGCCTTCCTCTGAAGTATCAGGGATTGGCCACAGCTGGAGATGGGGCACCAGATGGGGAGGACCCACAGGGGCCGACTTTCCAATGTGTGGGGGTGGGGTGTGTGCGCTTGACCCCCGGCTCTGCCCCAAGTCCTGCCCCCAATCCACCCCTTCCTCCAAGGCCCCACCCCTGCCCTGTTCCGTCCCCTCCCCGAGCCCGCCGCATTCTCCTTCCTCCCCCTTCGCCCCCCAGAGCCTCCGGCACACCGCAAAACAGTTGATTGTGGCGGGCGGAAGGCACGGAGATGGAGGGGGACGAGTTGATCAGTGGGGCCCACTGGTGGGTGGGAGGCGCTGGGAAGGAGAGGGGGAGCTGATAAGGGGGCTGCCAATGGGTGCTCAAGCCCCGGAGCACGCACGGAGTCGGTGCCTATGAGAGGACAAGCGCTCCAAAGTGGCACAGACAATCCTGTCTTAGATGCCTGGCTGGTGAGCCTTGCTCACATGGTCACGGTCAAGCTGATCACCAGATCTGGGGTCAGGAAGGAATTTTTCCCCAGCTCAGCTTGTAAGGGACCATGGGGGGTTTCCACCTTCTTCTGCAGCATGGGGCGTGCATCACCTGCTGGGATCACCTGGGCATGTCTCCCCTAATCAGTTCCCTGCCATTGGGGACTGGGGGCTCACAACAGTTCAGTCTTCTGAGGACTGAAATGCTTTGGTCTAACTGAAGCTACTGGGCTCAACACAGGAGTAACAGGGTGGAATTTAATAGCCTGTGACATACAGGAGGCCAGACTAGATGATCTAATGGTCCCATCTGGCATTAAACGCTATGAAACCATGAAAGTTTGCAAGATTTTTGGATCTGGGGTTTGATGCAGACCCATCACTAGTCCAAACCTTTCTCCAGCCAACTGAAGTACCAGGTTGCATTGGGGGGTCTTATGTGCCATAAATGCCAATGCTTCTGTATTAGGCTTCTTAAAGGAAAAGTGCATGATTTGTTCTAGAGCCAGAGACTGAATATAAGACACATGAAGGGCTAGATTATTTCCTGTCCCCTAGCAGGGACCGATAAAGATGTTCAATGTTAGGCCTAGCAGATAATATTGCCCCCTATTGACCAATACTTCATTGCACAGACATCAGTGCTATTGGTGAACTGTAGGCAGGTATTGATGTAAGCCTGGTCTACCCGTGGGGCGCGGAGAGAATTGATCTAAGATATGCAACTTCAGCTATGAGAATAGCCTAGCTGAAGTAGACGTAACTTAGGTCATCGTAGAATTACTCACTTCGCATCCTCGCAACGCGGGATCGACGGCTGCCGCTCCCCCGTTGACTTTGCTTCCGCCTCCCGCCGAGCTGGAGTTCAGCAGTCGACAGGAGAGCGACCGGGGATCGATTTATCATGTCTACACTACACGCGATAAATTGATCTCCAATAGATCGATCGCTACCCGCTGATCTGGCGGGTAGTGTAGACGTACCCTAGTAGGAGAACAAGGGAGTGGGGCTAGAAAGTAGGAGTAACTAGAGGTAAGGCAGGTTTTCAAACAGGGCAACAACGAGGTTTTTAAAGTTTGTTTAGATTTATTTTTAAAATCCTGATTTTGTACCTGTTCTAATTAAGCCCCAGCCACCACCATCCGTTATCAGGCTACTTGGATTCCTTGAGACCTCCCTATAAGTGTATCCGGATGGAGCAGAGCGCACTGTGTTAGCCAGGAGTGTCGCAAAGTCTTTATAGGAATGCCCATAACAGTCTCTCTGATGGGCCATTCACAGAGTGAAAATCTCCCAGCACACAGGCCAGCCTATGCAGGTAAAAGAAAATACAGACTGAATGATCATGAAAAACATCCCGAGTGTGAGATCTAGCAGGCTACATCGTAGTATCCTAAGGGAAGTGGTGGCAACATTTAAAGTTAGATGGGCAGAGAACTGGAGAAACACACCATGCTGGAGTGCTGTGGCTAACCCTGCACCGCAGGGTGAAGGACACAGATGAGGCTACTGGAATGGAGATCCGGTCTCTCCGGTCTCTCCAATAACTCCTGCACAGGGTGCGGGCACTGCAGAATAATTGGATCTCCCAGAGGTGTTCACTCCTGCTGCCAGTTGCAAAAGAGCCTGGGCAGGTGGGAGGAGCCAAGGTCCCATTTACCCTTCCTGACAAATTCATCCCAGGACAGGCAGGCCAAGCTGCTCAAGTGCGACTTGTTATTTACCATGTCCCAAATCAGACACCCAGTTACCAAGACTCCCCAAATCGCTGGTCACCTTCTAAAGTCAAAGTCTACAAGCACCACTGTCAATAACCACAGCTCCTTTATAACAAAACCAAGTAGTTCTAAAAATAAAAAGCCATCGGAGCTTACCTCACACGAATCTGGAGCATTTCCCGAGTCTGCCATGCGTTCAATTGCTGAGCTCAGTTTCCCAGGTCCTAAACTAGCTCTGCAGAATGGCCAGGTGGCAGTTCCTGTTTGATTAATTAGTCTGTTGTTATGTTTCAGAGATTGGAATGTCCCCATTTATTTCTTTGTGCAATAATTGGACCTTGTTATTAAGACCCCATTTGGATTTTGTTGCTATTCTCCCTCTGCTATATATCCTACCAGGGATATATTTTTATATATTCCCATTGCACATGCGTGGGATTGTTAAATTTAGTTATTTAGTAAGGATGGACACCTATCCTTTGCTTGCTCCCCAAGCAAACCACGATTCTTTGTTTCCCATTCACCCCATTCGAGATACTATCTGGTGGTGTAGCCGTGCCGGTCCCGGGATATTAGCGAGACAAGGTGGGGCAGGGAATCGTGTGGCTCGAAAGCGTGTCTCTCTCACCAACAGAAGTCAGTCTAATAGCAGATGTTATCTCCCCGACCTTGGTTCTCTGAGTGTTACAGGGGAGGTGATGCTGTAGTGTGGGAGCTAGTGTGGGACCCCAATTCCCTGCCCTGACCTTGGGCCAGATTTTCAAAGGCATTTAGGCGCCTCGGGTGATTTTCAACAGTGCCTATCTGCCTCTTTAGGGGCCTTAGAAGATCTGGCTCTTACATCTCTCTCTCTGCCTCGTTCTGTATCAAGTGGGGAGCTAACACTTCCCTGCTCACGGGGGCGTGATGAGGAGGGAAATGGCCTGGGAGGCACTCCCATCTATTGGCCAGACCAACCCTGCTCTCCTAGGCAGGGTATTCAGGCTGTTTCTCATTCCAGCTCTGCCAGCGTTTACATTCCTGCTATTGACTGTGGAGGGACTCTACCCTGAGTAAAGCAAGCGGGTTTGGAGGATCAGAGCCATTATTAGGACTCCAGCCAGAGAACATTAAGCAATGAGTGGGAGACACGTGGAATGTGATTTTCAGGGTTCTGAGCACCCTGCCGCTCCAAATGAAGTCAGTGGGAAATGCAGGTGCTCAGCCCCTCACAAAGGGGCCTTAAGCTGGGCTCCCCAAATCAGAGGCCACTTTTAAAAGTGTGGCTGATTAGTCCTTGCCAGGCGTAAACTCTTTGGGGGTAGGGTCATGGGCTAACAGACCCGGCCCACGGGTCAGACTCAAGGATTACATTAGAGAACGACTAATTTAGCCCTTGGATTGGGGAGGCTCTACAGAGCACATACAGAGACCTGGCCACCTGATGAAAAGCAGATCAAGGGGATCCCTACTATTAAGCCGCCCCTCCCCCACTACCTGGGGTTTTGTAACTGCCTGGATTTCCTAAAGCTCCAAGCCGGGGTCTGGCCTTCACAATCACCATCCCATCTCCCCTCTGCCCTGCAGTACTCCTAGACAGACATGTGGTTTCTCCTACCTGCGACTTTCACCACCTGCCCTCAAACGCCACTAATCCCGAGGGCTGTCTTCTTAATCGCCACACACCTCCAGCCAGGCAGGTGTTTACTCAGGGACTCCAGTTACCTCGTCTCTCCACCTGCCCCTGGAGACTCCCTTGTGTTTATCACCGTTGCCTTGTTGCCCTGTTTACGGGCTGGCCTGTATGGCTTGGGAGTCATCCACTGGGGATATTTCACAGCACAGAGATACACACACAGCGATTTGAACAGGCCTGTGTTTGGATTGGCCGCAGCAGCTTGTTTATAACAGACGGGCGGACACGACCCTCCCGTTCCGGATCTGTGGACCGAGGATGACAAACTCCCCCAAAGAAGGAACAGCTGGTGTTTAACCCTCACAATGCTGGCATTCTCCAGACAGTAACGCAACGGAATACTCAGGATGGCAGCAAGAGAGATGGTTACCGAGCTGGGTTTAAGCCCCGACAGAAAAGCCTTTAGACTTAACACTGGATGCCTCAGGGATCAGAGAGAGACACTCCAGGTCTGCTTCACTCCGTGGGATGGCAGGAGATAGCTAGGTGGGAGCCTGACCTGCAAGCAAGTTGGGAGGCAGGGACTGAGCTGAACTTGCCTCAGTTCAGAGGGAGAGGGCTGGTGGCAAAAGAACCAGAGACCCAGCCAGCTCCAAGGAAGAATGTTCCCATCCTGAGTTCACAGCCCTTCTCCCTGATGCTATGTGAGGGTAACAAGGATGATCACTGGGTGGAACCCCGGAGATTTCTGTGGGGAGGGAATCAGCGACACTCTAAGGTTGGGCTTTCAAAGGTAACGTCTTCTGGAGAAGCATCGAGACATTTATCCCAGAGTACTTTATATGGGCAAGCGGCAGTTTTAATAAATGCAAACTTACCCTTTAAAGAGAACAAGTCAACTAAAAAAAAAAAGATATTTCTACTGTCCCACCTCATGTCAGGCACATATAATTAAACTGATCTGGCAAGAACAGACATCTCCTCCACTCCTCCCAACCTTGTACAGTTTTGAGTCAAGAGTACATGATGCTGCTTACGGGGGTCAGGAAGTCAAAACATGCTTCACATGTCAAAAGCAGGGGAGCTTCCCCAAAATAGTGAGAGAGAGTATTCCCTTACACAACTCCACTTCGGTGGTGGTGCAGGCGTCAGCTAACACAATTGCACAACCACAGACATGGTGCATTTCAACCCTTCTTGTGGTTTGGCCCCCATGCAAGCAGCAAAGGGATCCAGTACGAGGGAGACCAGATGTCCCGATGTTATAGGGACAGTCCCGATATTTGGGGCTTTGTCTTATATAGGCATCTATTACCTCCCACCCCCGTCCCAATTTTTCACACTTGCTGTCTGGTTACCCTATCCAGTACAGACTCGGTCTGTCTAGTTAAGCACAGCGGCCGTGTGTAAAAGTAGGTCAGGTTTCTGTTAGCTGTCACCGGGAAACAAAAACATTCACACCATTAAAATCCACCCACTGGAAAGGAAAAGGGTTTGTCAAGAGCAGGTTTCAGAGCCACAGTCCAAAAACCTCACAAGCCTGTAAACTTGAATTCAGCCTAAATCCCTATTGGCCAAGCAGATCAATGGCCCAACAATGCATTTGAGCTTCCCTCTTTGGATAACCACAGTTTTCCTTTATTTTTGTTTTGTGTTGCTTTAAAAGACTCACTGACACCTCAGGAAAAAGTCAGGGAAGAGCCCTGGTTTTCTTGTCTGGGAGTGTCGAGCGCACTGCATCATCCTGCACTGTGTACTCAGAAAAAAGAACAGGACTACTTGTGGCACCTTAGAGACGAACAAATTTATTAGAGCATAAGCTTTCGTGGACTACAGCCCACTTCTTCGGATGCATACAGAGTGGAATAAATATTGGGGAG